ATGGCACACGGGCCCATGCCCATGCCCATGCCCATGCCCATGCCCATGCCACAAGCACACGCCAAACAATCCCAGCCCAGTGCAGCCCCCAGTGGCCCATGGCAGTCCTGGCAATGCGGCAGCATATATATACATATACACATATATATATATGTATAATTATATATATATATTATATAAATATATATAGAGACAAACGGACTGAGCACTGACCAATCGACTGCTTGAGTTGAGTCGATAAATAGCGCTGACTCGTGTTCAGGTCGGCAAATGTGCTTTGATGTGCGTACGGGCATTTCGATAATGTGTGTTTAATTTACCATGTGCCAAGGCGGCAATGGCAATTTCGATCTATTTGAACTTGTAGCATCAGCGATCGAGTGAAACAGTTTAGCGCTCGCAGTTTGAGAGCTGCGCGATAACATAGCACATTCCTTGCCCAGGTGCGAGTGACGCTCGATTGGAATACACATTGGGGATATATTAGGACTAGCAGATCGAGGGATATTTGGTGTATTCTCAATGACCTAAGGGAAAAATAAAATAAAATCATAATTAATGATTTCTTTGATATCAAATATCCAGTATATAAACTTTATCTAGTAGTAGTATTTCTTTTCTCTCTCTCTCTCTCTCTCTCTCTCTCTCTCTCTCTCTCTCTCTCTCTCTCTCTCCCTATCTCTATCTCTCTCTCTCTCTCTCTCCCTATCTCTATCTCTCTCTCTCTCTTTCTTACTATCTCTATCTCTCTCTCTCTCTTTCTTACTATCTCTATCTCTCTCTCTTTCCCTATATCTATCTATCTCTCTCTCTCTCTCTCTTTCCCTATATCTATCTATCTCTCTCTCTATCTCTCTTTCCCTATATCTATCTATCTCTCTCTCTCTCTCGATTTCCCTATCTCTCTCTCTCTCTCTCTCTCTCTCTCTTTCCCTATCTCTATCTATCTCTCTCTCTCTTTCTCCGTCTCTCTCTTCCTTTCCCTTTCGCTCTCTGTCGTCAATCTTTCTTTCTCTCTCTAGTTCTCTCGCCTGCTCTCTCCGTCGTCTATCGTTCTTTCTCACTCCCTCCCTCTCTCTTTCTCTCTCTATTTCTCTCACGCTCTCTCTGAAATATACGCGCCTGTCTGCGTATATAAACGACATGTAATCGCAATCATGATATGATAGGGGCTGTTGTAAATATTCCAAAGCGAAGTGATATGCCATAAATTAATGTCGAGATTAAAGTTAATCAACGTTTGTCAAGGATTTGCTTATCGTCTGTCCCTCACAGTTGAGACTCAGATTGTCTGCTGATCATAGAGCTGAAATGTGACTTAGACAACACCAAAATAAAATTAGCATAAAAGTTGAAAGTAGAGTTGATTATAGAATCGTACGCCCAAAGATTCCATCGAACAGTTAACTGCAGCTATTTGAGGGCGTGTCGCCCATACCTGCTCCGCCTCTATGCTCATCAGTGAGTATTTCGTGCGCTAATCGGATAATACGTATATTTAATATTATTACCGTTACCGATGCTTGTCCATTTGACCTGAGGGCTTCTCAGTCTCTTGACTGATTGCCGCCGCCGCCCCCTTTGACGCTGTGATTGATGTGAATTCGTTGATGATGCGACGCTCTCTGCCATATGTGTGCTCTCTTTCTCTCTCTCTCCCCGCCCCCTGTCGCCCCCTCTCAGTGGGTCTTCACGCTGGTTCGATTAAAACAATCAATTTAATTGTTATCACAAGTATAGAGCAGAGAATACACAGCACAGAACAGAACAAATAAGAAGAATATCTACGTGTAGTAAATAAAGCTGGCATGCGGCGTTGCCTTCCTTTTGTTTATTTACCCATTGAATAACGAGTCGATTGACATAAAAGACATCAAGCGAGCGAGTTTCGATCAAGCGAATAGCGAAGCAAAATCAATGGAAATGAATGTGTAAATTTGTAATAATTTTTCATTATTTTCATAGAGAACTATATGGAATATGAAATCACTTTTTATTCATATAGTTGACAAATTGTAATATTTCACGATTGTTCAGTCCTGGTGTAATCACTAATCGATTGTTATCGATTTAAATTATCGTCAATAACAGTTTTCCACTCGTACAGCATATCAATCAACAGTTGTGTCTGAAGTATCACAAATAGTAGTTCGTATAGATAAGATAAATAGATCTATGTACATATAGTTATATATGAATGTGTGTGTGTGTGTGTGTGTGTGTGTAAGCCATATGTAAGTCAATCGCTTGACACACTTCAGCTGTTTTGAGCTCTATAACCGGTTGCCAGTAACAGTAACACGGGAGGAGTATTGTGTATAAAGTTTGACGCAATTTTACAGTGACAATGGGACAATTATAGCCCAGCGTAACTGAGCGAGTTTTTAGTTGTTGTTCGCTGGTAATTACACGTGTTTTAATTCACAAGCTGTCATTGTTGTTGGTGTTGCCATTGTTGTTGTTGTTGCTGTTGTTGTTGTTGTTGTTGTCGCTATTGTTGTTAAATTGTATCGCAATTTGATAAAGCACAAAGTAATCAACACGACAGCAATAAATGGAGGGGCGTTGATCGGTCACAACAACAAAAATCTTTCAAAAAACATGAAAAAAAGATTATAAATACATGTTTTTTTTTTTTTTTTTGCATTTCACATTGTAGCAACACGAACTTTGAGTCATTCACAAATTATTTGTGACAATTTTAGATATACTACAAGTCATAAACCATCCAAAGTATCATAAATATACCTATGACAGGGTAGACGTAATTTGGGTTAACTTGAGTCTGAGCTAAGTCCTATGTTATCTAACCAAACGTAGCTAACAAATTACCGCAATATCTTCAAGGGCATGCACCTCTATGATACTCTAAAAGAAAATATGAGAGAATGGAATCCAGTTTCCATTTACGAGAATCTATTGAAATCTATAACGAACTGTGGTCACATATATGATATGATATGATAGTCTACAGTTTATTAAGTGGTAGTCTGACAAGAAGCTTAGATTATAGGAGTCACAGAGCATCGATAACTTTGAGTAAATCGATTAAAATCGATCACAAACTTTCGTTCTTTTTGACTTGTACACCCATGTCACTATTTATATGTTCCTACAAACTTCACTCCATGAAACTGATTTAAATCTATATTAAAACTTAATCCTTGATATGTATTTAGATGCATATATAAAAAAAAAACTTTTATATAAACAATCGATAACACAAATGGACTCTATATCGTAGACATGCCATATGATTGATAACTTAAATTCCCAGGAAATCTTTTAATTTAATTTACTTTTTTGACATGTATTTATAGGTCTATTTATTTAAGTACATCTCGAAAGTCTTAATCGCTTCAATCAGTACTAATAGTGTATACTTCTAATACATGCTCTTCCTATTCAATTCCCTTCCACGTTAAGGTTTCAGGGCATCTCCCAGTTTTAATATTCGCTTGTCTCTGGATAAGTTTTCTATTACAGCAAAGCTCCAGTCACAAACACATACGTTATGTTAATTGCAATTACTGTCTCTCTCTCTCTCTCTCTCTCTCTCTTTCTCTCTCTCTCTCTCTCACCTGTGCAGGCGTAAAGGTGCGACTAGGCGTGTTACACTTTTCAACTTCGAGCGCCGTTTGAACGGTCAATGACTCTCGCACACACACAGTTATGATTTATTTGCGGGTTAGCTAAGCGCGAATACATTAGAGAGACAGCGCGACACGCCCACCAGGAGGCTGGCTAAAATGTGTGTAAATAACATTTCAGTGGAGACAAAAGTTGTCATTTGTCGCTTTCTCTGTGAAAAGCATGTCCCTTGCATAACCACACAAAGTCGTCCATTGATGGGTGTTTACTGTATTTGAGCTGTCCATCAAATGATCTGCATAACTGTTCATCTAGATTGTGACGAGCGCATTATGCAGTCGGTTACACCCGACTGCGCTGTTCTGACTCGAATTTCTTTTGTTTTTATTTTGTTGTTTATTTATTTTTATGATGACCATTGTAATTAAAGCCTTAAAGCTTTTCGGGGCTTTTTATTGTAAAAAGCACTTAACTAACTGTACATCGAGGGCCATAGAGTTACATAGTATTATGTGTCCGAGTCTCGACGACCAGGCCAGGCCTGAACTTGTGTGATCATAAAGAGAAGAGCCAACAACAACAACAACAAAACAATACAACTACCGGGAGATGCTCAACTGCTCAAGAGCAAAATTAAACCAAAACTGCGGGTTAATACCCTTTGCTCGGCCAGTTAACCAGCTAAAACTTCAGACGTTTGCTTAACTGTAAAGAAGTCTTAAATGGGAAATATTACAACGTTTGCCCACACACAATTAACAGCGAAAAATGCGTACAAAGCATATAATAAAGTGCCTGGAGTTCTCTCTGACCTGATGTAGTGTCACATACGTCTGTGAAAAACTTCTTTTGGCTAATGATCTCATCTGGTAACAACCTATTTCTTTGTAACTCTCATGGGTGCGAGCTCAGAAAGAACTTATTACTCACGTTTGTAAATCTTGTGTAGCAAAAAGCAATATATAATATACATTAAAATTAATAAGAAATACAAATTAGCAGAGTTCATAAAACTATATTTCTGATGGATCGATCGTATATCATATTATTGAATTATATTACCTGATTGACAGTAAATAATTCTCATGGTTTCAACTGAGGATTGCCGAATATTGTTAAAGAGCAAATTGATGATTTAGTATATCTGTATGTCTGAGAGATCGTATATCCCATTAATGAATGCAAAATAATGAATGATCAATTATGCATTATCTTTACCATTATAAATTAGTTTGATATTCATTCCATGTCAGCGCCTTTCTATACAATTCTCAAGGGTTCAACTAAGATTTGTGCTGTAATATCAAGAAACAACTTGCTGATCTTACATATATCAGATAGATCACATATCCCTTTAATGCATATTGAACTTTGTGAATCGATTAATAATATGCGAATTTTGGTTATTCTTCTAGGTCGCTGCCATAATCGAATCGATGCAATAGGAACGTTACGGCTCAATTGCTATGCTCTTGTCAGGCATTACAATGGGCGTCCTGACGCCTCAGAGCCACAGACAACAGCAAGTTGTCGACTCTCTGGCTCGCTGCTGAGCTGAACGTATTTAGCAGCAAATGAAGGTGCAGCTCGTAGCCAGCGAAGCCGCCAACCAGTAGCAGGTTGGCCAACAAGCGACACAAGCCAGCAGCAGCGGCAGCAACACCTTCAGCTCTCCAGCAACTCCGCAGCCTCAGCCGGCAGCAGCGAGAGAGGCGCAAAAAAAAAGGAAATTGAAAGAGAAAAAAAAAACAACTTCGCAGCGTTAACCGAAAATGTTACAAAACTCGAATGCAACAGCCGCAGCAGCAGCGGCGGCAACAGCGACGCCCAGCACAGCAGCCGCGGCGGCAGCGGCAGCGAACAATGCAGCGATAGCCGCGTCATCGATACAGCCAAAGCTGGTTGTCATACGAAGGCGTCAGAATCAGGGCTTCGGTTTTACGCTGCGTCACTTTATTGCCTATCCACCGGAAGATGATGCCGCCAGCTGGCCACAGGTAAGCGTCGCAAGGCAATCCACCTGAGGGGTGGGATGGCAGGGGCAGGGGCGGTGGCAGGGGCAACTCAGTCAGTCCAGAGTCTGCCTGCATCTTCAATTAGTCATCAATTGTGCCTTGCCACTTTTGCTTTTCGCGGTCTGGCAATGCTCACTTCACTTCGGCTCTGCTCTGCTCTGCGTCGCGTCGCAGCTGCGGCAGTCACATTTGCGCAGTCGCCGCCGTTACGTGAGCGCAAAGCACGCGCCGCCTATTCAAATGGCAATCGCTGCTTTCTTTTTGCTCTGTGCCAAAACTGTCTGAAGTATGCCACATGCGGCAAAGAGCTTGCAACACTTTAGAGATATTTGCAATGCAGAATTTATAGTATTTAAAATTGATTTAATTTAATTAAATTTCATATGCATCAAATACTGATAACAGATAGTCCAATTTCCGATTGCTTGATAAGAATTTTTATAGACAGATTAAAGACTATATATGTAGAGCTTTGAAAATTTTATTTATTTTTTTTTAAATTTATATTAGCATAATTGAATATATAATAAATATAATTATAAATATAAATATAAATATAAATATAAATATAAATATAAATATAAATATAAATATAAAT